GAATGAATATATATATATATATGAGAGAGAGAGAGAGAGAAGATTCACAGATGATATTGAAAAAGAACAACTGGCCACTTACTTCAACTATACATCATCCTTCCTCCCTCCGGCAGCAGCCCAACACACACTCCTCGGGCACAGACACTCACAGAGACGCCTAAAAAGGGAGGAATTAATGAGCCCGATTGAAATGCTGACATTTAGGAATGGGGAGGAGGTGGGGGAGATGATATGGGAGGAAAGGGAGGGAGGGTGTGAGAGGTGAAGCCAGGGATAGATTTTGTGCTTTCATTTTTGAATGATTAGTCATAACAGCAGGGCGTCCAAATGTCACCACTATCAAGATCCGAGGGTCTATTTTGTCCGTGTGTCTATAGTGTTCGTTTGGCCTTTATGTTACTCATGACAATATACTTAGGGTCATTTGTTTGTGGCATTTCCTAGACAAATAGGTGACTTCTTATTGTCATGCTACAGTACATGTGTGCATACATACGTCTCAATGGTATGCCTGCTCTGCTGCATCCTCAATGATTGAGTGTAAAGACAGTAGTTCTACCACTGCAGATCTAGCAATAAAGGAAATTATACACATTTTCTAATTATAAATACATGCATGTAATTCCTATAGTCTAAGCAAAAAGATTAGTAAACTTGAACAACTCATATTCAAGTATGGAACTGCTTTATAGACCATTAACTGGGAAGTATGTTTTTGATGACACGAAGAAATAGAATAGGAGTTGATTGGTTGTCCCCATTCTATTCAGCTCACCATGTTGGCCATGTTTGTGTGTACCATGTCACGGTTTGTGAAGGAAGCAGGACCCAAATGCAGATATAAACTGAAAAAACTCCTTTATTTCAAGGCTATGATATAAACAATGACAAAACAGAACACTCACCGTAGAACTAGTCATGGCACAAGACGAACCGACAAAGACAGACAGAAAACCCAGAACTTAAATAAACACAAGACTAATCACACAACAAGACACAGGTGAGGAGGGAGGAGAAAACACAGGAGCCACAGGTGAACATAATCAGACAATTAGACACACTAGGGAAACTAATGACAAGAGGAAAAACACAGGGAAAAGGACCAGACAATAACCCAGAGGAAAACATGACAGGGAAAACAGCAAAAACACCCAAACCTACAAAACTATAAACGTGACATAACATGAGAATCGTGACATACCATTGCCATTACAATGAATGCTAAGGGCTAACTGTGGTAGCACGTCGCTAATCTAAGGGAAGTGAGACGAGGTTTTGCAATAACGACTTAACCAAGCAGTGGTATAGAGCTAAAGTAAATAAATACAATTGATACATTTCAGGCTTTATTCATAGACCCTTGTCACAGCTCAGGAAAAGCACAATACTATCGTTGAGTGACCACTTGTTCTGCTTAAGTTGGTGGAATTAGCAAGTTAGCTAACTATGATATTTAGCTCGCTATAGCTGGTTTCTGGCTTTGAGTCTGAGTGGCTCATTTCCACCCAAAAATGATTGAACCTACTAAATTCTTTATTAACGTGGCTTCCCCTCTGATGGCAACATCAAGTGATATAACACAGACATAACTTCACAGGCAGTGAAAAAAGGGGAGTAGGGGAGATGGCCGTCACATCATGGCCTTCACACCCGTGTGCACTCTAAATGTTGTCGGGAGGAAGGGAAGGTTGCAGAGGAAATCACCCTGCGTGTGTGTGAGCATGAAAAGTCATCATCTGCGCTCATCAACAGTGATCGCTGATTCATGCTACAAGCCCCTGTCCTCCCTGTCAATGTCATGGATCATTTGCTGTGACACGCTGTTTTGGTGCTTGGCTGTTTGGCCTTGCAGTGCATCGTCTATCTAATATGGATGAAAGGAGCAGAGCTCTTTCTCCACTCCGCTGTATCTGAAGAACGTTTCATTCATTCTCACCTGCACTCTCCTGCAATGTGTTTATAATAGTTTGATTTTATCAAGGTTGAGTTTTTGAGTTTGACAAACATATTCTATTTATTCTCAAAGGACTTTTTTCTAATTTTGTTTCTGATCACATCTCTCGTTTAGACAGATTTTAAGCAAAGTAACTTGGGATAGACTTAACCCTTCGATGCATAAGTGGGTCTTTTTTGACCCGGTGAGATGGTTTTCTTGAAGTATCTTTGTAATTAAATTTACATTTAGTTTTTATCATTTCATATTCCAGCTATTCCTCCAAAAACATGTTTTGGATATCATGCCATTCACATTTTTTATTTAAATTGTATACATTTTAAGAAATTGTAGTTTTTGTATTACTACCTACCCCAAGCTTCCATAAGTGGGTCAAAAATGACCTGCATGCATTTTCTATGAGAACCTTTGATTCTTATCACCTGTGGCTGTCAGGAATACTGTAGACCACACAGACTACATCACAAGTGACACCTCTCAGGTAGATTATTTTACGCAGCAAGATCTGATACCTGTCAGTATGATAATAATAATAATACATTATATCTGTATAGGGCTTTTCTAGGACTCGCCTTACAATAGAAGGTAGGGTGGGGGGTATGGGACTATCAAACTTGATCAACCGGCATGGATTGATGGGGTGGGGGGGGACTGAAAAGGGACTGGAATACTGTACGGGTCTCAGACAAGCGGAGATCTTGGGGGAGGGAATTCCAGATCTTGGGAGCTGCCACTGAAAATACTCTGTCCCCAATGCTGCCTAGTTTGGACTTGGCGGGGACAGGTGACGGGCTGAGGTGGATCTAAGGGACCGCTGGGGTTGGTAGGGGGTGAGAAGACCAGTGAGATAGGGGGGGGGGTCAGATGATGGAGGGCTATAGGTGAGGGCCAGTATTTTGTAGTTGATGCGTTGGGAGACGGGAAGCCAATGAAGGTCTTTGAGGACTGGTGTGAATGGATCTGGCCCTTCCTACATCCAGGACATGGTTAAACTGTACACCCCAGCACGTGCACTCCGCTCTGCATCGGCCAAACAGCTCGCTGCACCCTCACTATGAGGGGGACCCAAGTTCCCATCAGCAAAAACACGTGGGTTTGCTATCCTGGCTCCAAAATGGTGGAATGAGCTCCCCATTGACATCAGGACAGCAGAAAGCTTACACATCTTCCGGCGCAGACTGAAAACTTTCGACTCCACTTCGAGACTTCGAGCGATAGAATTGCTAACAAAGCACTTATACTACAAAGGACTGGCTTATCTAAAGCCAGTTGAGTAGCACTTAAATGTTTTAGCTCTATGAAACCCTGATGTACTTATATGATTCTGTTTTCTTCAAGTTTGTATCTTGTTGGTCGCGAACGCACTTATTGTGTAAGTCGGCTTTGGATAAAAGCGTCAGCTAAATGCAATGTAATGTAATGTGGTGCCATGATCTGGTGTGTGTGAGGAGTCGGGCGGTCTACATTTTTTACATTTGGAGTCCTATCGAGTGACGGGGAGCGGATGCCGTAGAGAAGTGAGTACAGTAGTCAAGGTGGGAGGAAATTAAAGGTAGAATAGGTCGTTCAGCTGCAGGGCAGGTAGGTAAGAGAGGGCATCAATAGGTTCAGAAACGTTTTTTTTCAAAATGTCTAAAAATTATAAATAGGAAAATTTCAATATAAAATATTTCTAGTGTGAACCAAAATATATACATATAATTATACAAGTGATTTTTCTTAACAAAATTACAAAAATGGCATAAAACACGTATTATTCGTAATATGGGTTCTTCTTGACCCACTTATGGAGAGAGTGTATGGTCGCAGTCACTCTTAAAAATAATACTCGCC